TGTGAGGAAGATTAGCCCTGAGCTAACATCTGTTGCCAATCTTTCTCTTTTTGCTGAGGAAGATTGGCCCTGGGCTAACATCCATGCCCATCTTCCTCTACTTTATATGGGACGCTGCCACAGCATGGCTTGATAAGCGGTGCATAGGTCCACGCCCGGGATCCGAACCTGCGAATCCTGGGCTGCCGAAGAGGAGTGCTACACCACGGGCGGCCCCGTAACAGCTTTCTTTAAATAATAAAGTATTTCAATTTTGAAAAACCCCTAGCATGAACAAATAATGTGGTAACTAAGAATTCTTAGTCTATTTTAATATTAAGAAAATACAAAGATCCTTTTACTCTGTGAATGTAGCAACATCTGAAAATCATAGAGCCTTTTTAACCTTTCTAGCTGCAAAAAGTTAGGAAGTATAAAATGATCATAAAAGGTCATATTACTGTTTTTGCTTTTGTGGTGGTAATATTTTTAGCAATGATAAAAAGTGATCTTTAGTGCCCCATAGCTTGAAATGTTCAGACCAGTCCTTTAAAAAAAAAGAAAAACTACAAATCCTCAGTTTCTTCAAGTTATAATTTTTCCAAGTTTAATTACAGTTTATAATACTTCATGATCATTTTTTTTCATTAACCCTCATTCTTCAGTTAGCTTTATCTTAAAGGCAAGCTCACCATGGAAGACAGGACATGCCAAGGAGTTCATCTACAAGTGACACATCTATCTGCTTTGCCATCAGTGTTGCTAAGGGTTATGTAGATTGAAGGGCAGCTTTAGCTTAATGCTCTGAGGAAGGTTACTGCTGGCCTTCTTCATGGAGGTGCTCACCCTTGCAGTACATCATTCTTCACTGGTTATCATCAGAAATAGAAGCAATGTCTTGCTGTGTCTAGATAGATATTAGCACATGATTTTTGTGTTTTACTGTAATAATTTCTCAGAAACAGATACAGAGTAATTGTTTTAGTTTGTACTGCATAATTTATATTTTATTTTTTATCTAATATATATTTTAAATATGTATTATGTATAAATATGCATAATGTTTTACAATATATATTTTAAAATATATATTTACTTTTAGCACCTAGTATCACCAGAATCATAAAATATTAGCACTGGAGAGAACTTTGGAGAGCATCCAAAACAAGCATTCTTTTCACTAATGAGGAAACCGAGGTTCAGAAAGACGAAGCAGTGTATGCCTAGGGTATTATAATTTACACATCCAAATATTAAACTCACTAGTTTGAACAGTTTTCCAATTACATGGCTTTTCAACTACAATAACCACTAATTTCATTTTTGTTTTAACATTTAGTTAAAAATTGACTTGTCTCTGGTTGTCCTACAAAGTTATCTTATGTTGTCAAGACTTAAAAAAACATGCCACAAGTTAGTAGAAAGGTACAAATATCAGACAAAGGCTTAGTAAGTGTTCTTTAAATTGACTTACCATTTTACAAACAAACTTCTGTTCGTAAGTTTCTTTGCTTAGGGAAGAAAAGTAGTTACCTTTTATTTCTGTATGTACAAGCATCTATTTGTGATGTTTCATCAGAATCTGATGACACTGACTTATGTATACATTCTTTTTGGCTGTTCAATATAATGAAATTATACATTTCATTAAAAATATCGTGTTTATTTTATGTAAATAAACTAATTATAGATTGAATGATGAGAAAAATATTTTCTTTAGGACATTGAAACTACCCACTTCAAATATTTGTTTCAATCCATTCCCTTTATTTCCTCTACTTTGCCAGTTTAAATGCTGATTTAGCTATTGGTCTAGCCAACAATGAGAGTGGCTCACAGAAATAGGATATTTTACCCAGACTTAAACACCACACGTTCAAGTTCTTATATGCATCTTCTCACACCCCCGACCCATTCTCACTACAAGCCTGACCCCATTACAAGAGCTAGTTCAGAGAAATTGCCCTGATAAAAATTAGAATGAGGTGAATTAATATAATTATGACATTTTTATGTTATATTTGCATGTACTAATTTAGAATGAAATCAAAAACATATTGTGCTTTCCTTATTTTCAGCACATAATTTTCTTTCTTTTTCAGCTTTTTAATTAAATGAAGCCAAATGGGATTTGCATAAAGTGAATGTTTACCATGAAGATGAAGTGTTCCTGACATCCTAGTTTGTATTCTTGAGTTCATTTCCTTGTGGATTGTGACGATCTAGCTTATGCTTGTATAATTTTTTAAAATGTCAGTTTTCCTAGTAAATTTAACTCATAGAAATGGACAGTTAACTTTAATATTAGCGCTGGAAAGAACAAAGGAAACAGTGAAGTGTTTTCAAGCATATTATATTCAGTGTATGCTATAGGATTGAAATAAAAAAATGTAATTCTGAATTCATGTTTTAGAACTGTTCGCTCATTAGTAAAGAAAGTCACATTGTTAGTGAGGGAAAACTATGAAATGTATGTTAAAGAATTCTTGGGGTTGTACAGAGATAAGGTATATGCATGAAAATATGTCATGTGCTGAAAAATTATGCTTACTGCAGTTTCAGTTATAGAGGACGTGTATGGTTACAAATAGTGTTTTGTTCTTATTAATCATAACTAGATAAGAGTGTATAGGACAGGGAGCTGGATGAATAGTACCTACAACTTGGATGCCTAACCTGGGAAATGGAACTTATTCCCAGGATATAATTCTAAAGCATGACTAAATCAACATACCTTAAAGGCATCAGGCAAGGAAGCAACATACCAGAACTAGGAATTAATTCTTCTCCAACTTTAGAAGTGTCATCCAGGAATCCAGACTTAAAACTACAAAAGTAATCCACTATAGCCATTTTCCCCTTGTGTTGTATGGAGGAAACTTGCCATCAAAACCACATTCCCTGAATCTAGATAAAAGCTAGTTATCCTGATACGAGTGAGTGACTCAATGAAGCTTTCTTGAAAACCAAATATAGGAGTCTAAACATTGTTATGTTTGTATATCTTGTTTTAGTTTATAAAGCACTTTCGTGTATGTTATGGTATTTGTTCTTCACAACAACTCTGTAAATTAGACAGGAAATGCAAATTTTGTCTGACTTGTACAAGTATTAGAAGGGGAAAGCCAAAAAGAATAAAAAATAGAGCATGTAACCTGGGCTTTCAAACTCTCAAACCTGAATTTTTATTTTCTGTGGTGCTACCCAAAGAAGAATTTAGAAACACAATTATTTAGGCAGTTCAATAAACTTTGTTTTTCTCCATTTTTTCAGACTTTGTGATCTAATTTTCACTAAGATCTGAATAATAGACCATGGAGAACTTTGTTAGTTGGGAGTTCCAGCTGTGTAGAATCAAACAGGAACCAGGTGTACATTCACTAAATTTATTTATTTTATCTATGAAATGGAATAAAGAATGGTAAATATAAAAGCCTACAGGGGCATATTAAGTTAAATCCCAGGGCAATATGTGTACTAGCAGGAAAAAAGCTATCTTTTCAAAACATGATGATAGTCAGTGAAAATTATATAATAATTCAGAATTATGTTAACCTTATCACATATTCCCAAATCTGTTATTAAAAATCACAATTCCTCTATTTCGTGTTCAAAGATTGATAAATTTAGTGTTGGAATGGCATTTATGGAAAAACAATGCATGATCATGTAATCATTTGTTTAATCCCTCTTCCTACATAGCACTTGACCTGTAAATCTTACTCTATTGAGCATGTTTACATTTTCAAAAGTCCATTCAGAACAGATATTACAATTGGAGTTTGAGGCCAAATTTAACAAATAAACATTTTTTTATTAATTATAATTAACTTTTGTTTGTCCCCTTAAAGCTCGAAATTCTTATCTTCCAGTTAGTGTGCAATTGATTAAATATTAACAACACACATCTAATCTCTCTATAAAGCTTAATAGTATTTAATCATAACCAATCATGACCGTAGTTCTCAGAGACTATGACCAAGGTAAGGAGAATTCTGCTATCCCAGATTAGTAAAAGTTTTCTAGCCTAAATTATATAATTTCCTCTGAACATTAAATATATGCCAACTAGAAAAACAATTTTTTTTCAGAATTTCATAGTTCAAAAAGCTGTAGCTTCTCTGTAGACAATTGTTGCATCAGGGAAGTGATTCTAGAGAGAAATAAATTGCCTCAAGATAAGTTGTTACTGGAAAGTGCTACAGGCAAAAGAAAGAATGGCTCAAGTGTAGTTTGCTTTCAGAATGTAGCATGTGCAAAATCACATACATAGTATATGATCTTTACCTTTGCCAACCAATTTAAATTGAAAATTTATACATACAAAAGATTGTATGTGGTATGTTATATTTTGTGTTTCAATGTCACTTTTCAACCAGACTCACTGCATCAAAGACCCCCTTAAAAACAATATGTTTAACAATCTCCAGATAAAATAAAAAGAATTACTTTTCTACTCAGTTGAAGAGAAAAATCCTAATATAAAATTCCACGTTAAAGGAGTTTCATTTTATAACATCTGATGAATAACATTGCATTTTGCTCAGCGTACTGGTCCTTGCATTAGATATTCACATTAGATAGCCCAATAGTGTTGTATGTTTACTGTGATTTTCTTTTGCACATAAAGTAAAATCCCTTGTCAATTAAAATTCAGCAAGCATGCTGATTTGGGGAGATTAGATCTTGTAACCATAGAGCTTGACAAGTATTCCCTTTCTTGCTATTATAAGAACATCCCTTAGGGTACATGAAGGGAGTGGTTATTCTAAATAAGGCATGATATATTATTTTGAGATGAATGACATTAAACATTGTATTTTAAGAAGGACTGATGACAGGGGCAAACACATTAGCTACAGCATCTAGGGACCAAACATTTGAATGGACCCTTGGAGACCTAATGTTCCTCAGAGTCCACAGAGCTTATTAACATTAAGTTTAAACTACTAGAACAAGATGTTTTTCATACTCCAGCAAGGAGCTGTACTTGGTCAGACCAATAATATATCTAATAGTATTTTTTCTAATAGTAGGAAAGGCGTGAGCATAGTAGCTAGTCACACTCAAAGGATACCAGTATGTATGTATTAGCCTGTAGATTCTCTTATGCAATTTTTTCATACTCTTCTTTTAATCTACTTATATGTCTGAAATATATGCAAATGTTTATATCATATAAACAGAATCTTAAGTATTTATACAAAGTTTTTTCCTCAAAGTTTTAAGAAAGCATCATACATTCAGACTATAATATAAAAAATCATGTCACATTCACCCAAATGTTGATGTGTCTACTTCTATTAAAAATTATGCATAGATGTCAATGAAAATCACAGAATGAGGAACTCTAGGGACCCACCCTCTCCATAGAAACACTAGAAAAACTGTCAGTTTTGTTGAAAGTCTGGAAAATAGTGAAAGGTTTACAGAAACCAGGGAATGCTTAAATAAGAAAGATGACTGAAGCCCAGTAAGATAGCATAATGGCGTTTTATCTTACTCTTCCCCCACCATCCTCCCTATCAGCAGTGGTCTCGAAAATGCCAGCCTGTGTTATTGATGTGGGTGCCTGGTTCCAGAGGGAGCAGAATGGCCCTTGTTCCCAGCAATAGTGTTTGTTTTGACTTGTCTGGAGACTCCCAGGAGGACTGATGCAAGGGGCTTGCCTTTGTTTCCCATAACTCGGAAGTTTCTTAGAGTGGAAAAGTGAGTACACAGAGAGGACGTTTCTCTAAAACATTGAAAGATAAATGAACATGCTGCTGCCTGGGGCAAAAGATAACGATTGGGACAAACAATAGACATTGCAGCTGAAGGCCTGGGAGGAAAAGCTGGGAAGTGAAATGCTTTGGGGAATAAGGGCTTTGAAAAGCTGCCATGTATTCTATGGAATCTAGAAAGACATACCCATACCCAGGGCAGAATGAATGCTGAAAAAGGACCTGATAAAAACCTAAACTTTTACCTCTTGCTGATCTTTACACCCAGCCTGTACAGAAAGTGAAGGCTAAAGTGGAGTTGTGAACACCCTGGATAAGCATTGAAAGGGTGCCCCAACACAGAGCCAGTCAGCAAAGAACCAGAGAGTACTTTCTTGTTTTATTTTTCTTTTTGTCTCCTGGCATTCAAGGAAAGCTCTATCAACCCACTAACTGATTGCTAATCTAATGAAATAGAAACGTCACAGACCACACATGACAAAGAATACAGTTTTTTCAGAAAGTTTTAAAAGTCACTAAACTACTACAACCCACAACAAGCATCAAAAACTAACTCTGGAGAGGGAGCAGAATCCAATTTCCAGAGTTGCCACAACATTCAGAATGATCAGTTTACAAAAAAAATGAAGAGGCATATGAAGAGGCATTCAAAGAAACACAAAAGTATAGTCCATTCACAAGAAAGAAAGAAAGAAACATAAACTGTCTTCGAGGAAGCACAGACATTAGACTTGCTAAATAAAGACTTTAACTGTCTTTAATATAATCAAAGAGCTAAAGGAAACTATAGACAAACAACTAAAAGAAACATGTCTCACCAAATAGAGAATATCAGTAAAGAAATAAAAATTATAAAAGGAGTCAAATACAAATTCTGAAGCTGAAAAATACCATAATTGAGTTGAAAAATTCATTAGAGAGACTCAAGAGCAGAACAGACAGAAGAAAGAATCGTTGAACTTGAAGCTAGGTCAATTGAAATGATCCAGTCTGAGAAGCAAAAATAGAGGAAAAATGAACAAAATGAATAGAGCCAAAGAGACCTGTCAGACACCATAAGCGTACCAATATACGCATAGTGGGAGTCTCAGGAGAGGAAGAGATAGAGAAAAGGAAAGAATATTTGGAGAAATAATGTCTGAAAACTTCCTAAATTTGAAGATGGACATGAATCTAATACCTAAGAAGCTCCGCAAACTCCAAGTAATATAAACTAAAAAAGGTCTGTATCGAGACAAATTATAATCAAACTGTCGAAGATAAAGAGAAAATCTTGAAAGCAGCAAGAGAGAAGTGATTTGACATGTACAAGGGGTCCTCAATAAGATTAACAGCTGATTGCTCATTAGAAACCATAGAGGCAGGAAGGCATTTTTAAAGTGCTGAAACAAACTGTCAACCAAGAATTTTGTACTTGGCAAAAATCATCCTTCCCAAATAAAACCTGAAGGGCTTCGTTGCTAGTAGACCTACCTTATGAGAGTCACTAAAAAGAGTCCTTCAAGCTGAAATGAAAGGACACTAGATAATAACTCAAAGCCATGTGAAAAAATGAAAAGAGAATGATGTCAACAAGATGGCAGAATAGGAGTTTCAGTGATTTATAAGTTGCCTGAGAAGAATTCAAATTGTTTTAAGTAGGCTCAGAGAGCTACAAGACAATGCAAATAGACAACAAAATCAAAAAACAACACATGAACAAAATAAGGAGTTCAGAACAATAGAAATCATAAAAAAGAACCAAGCATAAATTCTAGAGCTAAAGAATACAATGAAGGAAATGAAAAATGCAGTAGAAGATATCAACAGCAGACTAAATCAGGCAGAAGAAAGAATCTGTGAACTCGAAGACAAACCATTTCAAACTATCCCGTCATAGGAGAATAAATTAAAAAAAGAATGAAAAAAAGTGAGGAAGGCATATGTGAATTATGGAACACCATCAAGCAAAACAATTTACACATTATGGGAATTTCAGAAGAAGAGATAGAAAAAGAGGCGTTAATAAAGTTTATTTAAAGAACTAATGACTGAAAACTTATCAAATCTAGAAGAGAGATGGGCATCCAGGTTCATGAAGCTCCTAAGTCCCCAAACAGATTCAAACCAAAGAGGTCTTCATTACAATACAAATAAAACTGTCAGAAATCAAGACAGAGAATTTTGAAAGCATAAGAGATAAGAAACTCATCTCATACAGAGGAAACCCTAAGGCAATAAGTGCATTTCTTAGCAGAAATCTTGCAGGCCAAGAGAGAGGGGGATGGTATAGTCAAAACACTGAAACAAAAAAACTATCAACCAAGAATACTTTATCTGGCAAAGCTGCCCTTCAGAAACGAAGGGCAGATAGACTTACATCTTAATAGATGCAAAAATTGCATTTGACAAAATAGTTTTCATTCATGAAAGGATGTTTTCTCAACACATTAGGTAAAAAAGAAACGTATCTCAATATAAAAAGGCTATATGTGACAAGCTTACAGCTAATATCATACTCAATGGTGAAAAACTGAAAGCTTTTCTTTTAAATTAAGG